AAGCATTAAGGGGAATATAAAAGACATTATTTTGTTTCTTGTACTTAAACCTCCATAAAGCGCTTTAAAATCAAAGCCTCATATGGTCCTAAATAAGAGGTCTTCTTCAGTGCCACAGATATTCAGGGAAAAAATTAAGGGGGAACAAATTACCTTCACACCATTCTCTCTGCCTGGGGAGAGGGGGGATCTCTGGTGAACTCAGCGTTCTGCTGGTTATTTACTGGTGAGTTTAAGTGCCATTTTCCTTCAGTATCCTCCTGGGCCCCACACAAGGTTTACCTTCACACCATTCTCTCTGCCTGGGGAGAGGGGGGATCTCTGGTGAACTCAGCGTTCTCCTGGTTATTTACTGGTGAGTTTAAGTGCCATTTTCCTTCAGTATCCTCCTGGGCCCCACACAAGGTGAAGCCCTTTCTCCGTTGCACTTCTCTTGTGCCTTTCATGTGCATGGGCTCTATCATCTCATTATCACAAACGGGTTTGTCTATCGGCTGCCTCTGGAATACAAACTCTGTTAGGGCACGGACTCTGCTTTATTTGTCTTTGTATACGAGGCCCTGAAACTGAATGAGGTTTTTGAAAGGAGGTATATATTCAATAAGTGAAAATTTTGTTAGGGTCCTCAAGGGACACACACTGACCTTTGTAAATACATATTAGTCAAACAGATGGAGAGAAAGATTCAGAAGAAGGAGCACGTATTTGAGACTGGGCACGATGCTGGCTTGTGATGATGAGAGTGGCATGCTGGAAGGTCTGTTTGAGAAATAAGAAGAGATAAGTTGAGGTTGATAGGAAGCAAGAGAGATGGCGGATAGCCTTGAATCCAAGAAGAAATGGTCGAGAACTATGAAAAGTTTTCAGGCAGGAATGTAAGGTAATACATATGGTATAAAATTTATTTTCATTTTTGATCTGCCTTTAAAAATGCCCAAACACTCTTGAACTTCTAGGGAGAGGTGTTGTTTAAAAGACTGAAGCAGGGCACAGTAAGAGATAAACTCTCAGCATCTGGTGATGGCAATGAGCATAATAAAGATAAGTTGTCTTTATTATGAAATAATATATTTAAAATTCTTTCTTTCGAAGAAAAATTAGCAAAGACTTGGAACATATTGAAAATAGAAGTATGAGGAAGGCTCTTTGTAAAAGGAATAAAAAATATTGCCATTTAACTGTTCATATATTTTATAACTTTCTATGTGTCTAATTTATGCCCCCTACTTCCTAAAAGCCAATAACTTAAAATTTTAAAGGATAAATAAATCAGAAAGGGAAAGTTGTGCCTGAAAAAGAAGAATCTAAAAAGCAAGAAGACATTTAGCGATAAGGAAAAAATATTTATATCAAAAGACCACAATGGGATATTTGGCACAATTATGAACTGGCTACATCTGTTCTCCCCAGAATCCTAAGCAAAATGTAAAGACAATATTTATTAAATTAGTGTTCTTTTGTCTTTTCTTCCTCACCTCTGAGTTTGTAAGCCAAGCACTTTGCTGTATGTTGGAATAACAATGTAACTGGCATGTTTTGCAATTGTTCTAGCCCTTTACACATATTAACTAATTTACTAGTCCCAATAACCCAGTGAAATAAATTTCATTATAATTCCTCCTTTACAGATGAGGAAACTGAGGCACCAGGAGGTATAACATTAGTAAGCGGAAGAGCCATGACTTGATCCCAGCCAGCCGAGCACGGGGGCCATGTTTTTAATCAATACATACAGTGCCACTTTGCAAAATTATATGTGAAAAGAAATTTTTCTTTTCTCTCATGTTGCACTTGATGCAGTCAAATTTATTAATTTTTTTCTTTTATGGCTTCTGAGGTTTGTGTCATATTTTGAAAGTTCTTTTCAGTTACAATTTTACATAAATATTATCCCGTAATTTTGAACTTCAAGATTTCATGTTTTAGATTTTAAATATTTGATCCATTAGGAATTTATATAGATATAAGATATGAAGTTTAAATGTTTGAAAATAAGATATGACCGTATTCCAACATCATTTTTTAAACAGTACATCTTTCCTCTACTGATTTAACATGTCACCTTTTCATATATTAAATTCCTTTATGTGTTTGGGTCTATTTCTGGACTTGGTTTTCAAGTCACTAATGATTTTTCATGCACTAGTACCACAATCAACAATGTATGGTGTGTTTTAACTTGCTCTTAGTGGTTATCAAGTTCAAGTCTGTCTCACTATATTATGGCAATGTGCTAGGAAACTCAAATGTCTGTGTGGCAGAATAATGAATGTATACTTGGCTCCTTGCCATGAGAATGTAAATTGCATTTGTCTGGACTCTGAAGCTGGCATTGAAAGGCTGAGTCTGTAATGGCATATCTGTCTTGCCAGGCTTATTGTGTTTCCTCTAATGTGGTTTTACATGTTGGGTACAGCTAAAGCAATTGGAGGAACCACCCTGTTCAACCACCAAGAATCCACTATTAACCTTCACAAACTGTCCTCCTTACATACTGTCCAGACAGGACTATTAAAAAGGAGTTCATGGGAATTAAAACACTTGCTTTATCAATTTCCTTAATCAGAACAGTCATCTCTTGTTTCCCTTCTGGAATTCTATATTGCTTAGTAATTTACTACCCAGAGGGGCTTGAGCAATTCCAGAGATACATATTTAGCACAGCCAAATAAAACTGAGTGAGGGGCAGACTTAATTGATGCTTCATTCACTTATAATCCATTCCCACTATGCATTTAGGTAAAGCTGATGTGACCACAGAATAGCCACTCCAGTTACGCTTTCTCACTTATAACTTGATTTCTCTCTTGGTTTTCTCTACCGCAGTATCTCCAGTATTACTTCTGGACCGTTCAGAGCACCATAACTCTCCCTGATGGCAATTGCTGTACTTGAGATCCTGTATGTACTAATACTAACAAGTTTTGCATGCCACTCTCTGGCCATTTCACCCAAATCATCGCACAAGTCTTCAGACTTGGGGCACTTGCTCCTTGTTCTTGTGAGCCCTGGCTACTGAGCTTCCTCTCATTGCTATTCCTACACTCTGTCTACACCTTTGCAAATAGTCCTTTTACTACACAGATTCACCATGCCCAGTTCTTGTAAAAACAAGCAATTACAAGCTTCACATACTTTAATACTTAAAAAAAAACATATAAAACCTACACTCTTTGATTTAGCTCTAGCTAATAAAGCATCATGTTAAAACAAGAGTCTGCATCATGTAATTAGCAGTTGTCAAAGGAGAACATATGGGAGGATAAAAGATTCATTAATTCTGATGTATAAATAGACAAGTCTGTACTCTGTAGAACAATTCAGAGTAAGTGAAAAAGGGTGAAGCTGAAAATGTCTGCAAGACTTTTTTATGATATAGTACCAGGGAAGTAACACCTAGCTTATATCACTTTATGATTTTATGTGACTTTATGTCAACTTATGTCAATTTTGTCTCTGGACACCTTAAAACTTAAAAAAAAAATGGAAATAGTCAACTCTTAGTTGCACTTGTTATTTGAAAATATAACATTGCTAATATGTAAAACTCTTGAATTTAAAATGTTTTTAATATACTATGGAATATGAAGCAAAACTTATAAACCCTTATATTTGTATGAACATGATATTATTGCACATATTGTGACACATTTTCACAGCTAAGGAAAATCATACTTACTTGAGTTTTGGTGACTAGAAAACTGAGCCTCAAAGAAATGTCTTGTTCATGTTCTATTAAGTAAAACCAAGTAAAGTGATGAAAGCCTAAAATGGGAAAGTAAAACCATCAAGAAAATAGAGAAATCTCAATAACATGAGAGGCTAAAATTATAAAGGAGTTTCAGCCTGGCAATATTAAAATTTTGATCATCTACTAATGAAAAGATTTAAAGTTTTTATGGGAAAATTGTCCTGGACTTCATAAATTTCCAGAAGTCTTTACTTAGAAGGTGTACTTTGTAATTTGAACAAGAGTTTTATGTTTAGAGAGGAAGAAAGGAAGAAAGGAAGGAGAGAAGGAAGAGAGGGAGGGGGTGGGAAGAAGGAGGAAGGAAAGAAAAAGTACTTGAGTTTGGTAGAACACTCAAGCTTTACACAACCAATGGTGGGACGTCACTGGAAGTAAACTATAGATAGGTGACGTCTAGATGACTTCAGGATGATCGATTCACTGAAGTTTTAAAGTGACATTTGAGGCATACACCAAAACTTAATTTTGAGTAATAGAAAACAGTGAAACAACTACACAACTTTTCTAGCTGTTCTGTCAAAGAGAACACTATGCTAAGATATTATTCTAGCCCAGGGTCGTGTTTCAATAACAATAAAAACTATATTTATTGAGAGCCTATGCTGTACTATGTGCCAGGCCCAGTGGTAAGTATATTACATGGATCATGTCTTTAAAGTGTTGAAGAACATAATGCATTATCCCTATTCACGAAGAAAGAAAACTGAGGTCTGAAGAGGTTAAATAACTTTCCCCATGTTACACAACAAATACCTAGTGGTGTCTTGGTTCTAACAGAGGTTTCTAATATTCTAACATAAATCAACAGCCCATGATCTTAAACATGCTCTCCTGCACTTGAAGAAAGATGGCCCTTGGTGTGAAGTGACAGGTAAAGACACACACACACACACACACACACACACACACACACACACACACACACACTCAAATCATGAACAAATCACAAAATGGCTGTTAATTAAGAATGCATGGGAACAATGCTATATGAGATCATCACAATTAGTGTACACTTAGAATAAAGACATTCCTCATCTAAAAATATATGCATTGGGGCCTGGGTTAAAATCTTTTAACAAATGTTTTCGCATCTGTCATTTCCTAGAAAAACCGAATGCCAACGCTAAATGCCATATCAGAAGAGGGGTTGGGCAGGCAAGAGTCCATTTCTCCAGTTGTTGGCTGGATACAATGCATTTTATGAGATTGGGGAAGACATCTACAATGTGACAAAGATTACAGGCAGAGATCAGCAGCCAGGGGAGGCGCAGCACATGGGGCGGGGACAGGTAGAGATGACAGAGGTTGGGCGGTAGCAATTGGTGTGGCAGGAGACTTGGCCACAGACTGGACGCAGGCAGCCACAGGTGTGAGGGTAGCAGGAGCTGCAGCAGGAGGGACAGCAGCAGCTGGATCCACAGCAGGAGGGGCTGCAGCAGCTGGAGATGTGGCAGCAGGGGCTGCAGCAGCTGGAACCACAGAAGATGGAGGCACAGCAGGAGTTGACCGTGATGTCAGAGGGTGGAGGTTCTGGATGTGCTTCCAAAAAAATGTATTTCTTGAATCTGGAAATCTCATCGCCCCATATCCCCTTTGTTACCCTGCCGAGGGAGCTCTTTCCTTGTTATTGTTCATTTTAATAAGTAGGCAATTGTTACAAATTAGGCAATTATGTTTTCCAAGTTGGATGGAAAACATTGCATTAAGATTTATGTCATTGGCATTTCCTGAAGCACATCCTGTATGTCTTTCTTTGTGTGCCTCACCTTGGTTCAAATGCTTGCTAACTATTTTACACTAAATGTGTTGCCTCTCACTATATCTGTTCATTGTCTCCTGTCATTACTTCCTTGTCGGCATCAGCTATGTTTGCAGATATTCCGCCTTCTTCCCTAGAGCAGTGTCATGTGAAGTTTGACATGGAGTAGTTCATATGCCATACTTCCCCATCTGTGGGTCATACTATGCCCACAATTTCCAGAGCATTGCTTGTGGAAAAAAGATTTAGTCACATGTCCAATGCAGACATAACAAAGCATAAGAAGTACAGAATCTTAGCATTGGAAGTCAAGGTAAAATCCATCAGTGCGGTCAGTCGTAACCAAAAATGGTCAGTGGACAAACAGGAGAATCCCCAGGACACCCAAACTGTGTACTCATCCCATTTTCTGGATTTGAATATATTGATAGATTTCCTCTTTTTAAAAAGCCAGTATGTGTCAGGAATGGGCTTAGCCTTTTAGGAATCAACATTGGAATTTATGATAGCACTTATGTTAATGAAAACACATATTTGTATACAAAATAGACTATACTGTACAGCCTCAATTATTTTTTAAAAGTGTATAGAAAACTATTGATATGATTACCAGAAATGGTAATAGTATTTATTTATGGTTGATGGGATTATGGAAACTTTAAATTTTCTTCTTAACACTTTTCTTTATTCTCTGCCTGTTATATGATGACTTGCTTTTCTTTTACGAATAGACAAAGGTTGAAAGACAACTGTCATGTTTTGTCATCTTCACCATGACCTTCTAGGGCTGGGGGTTGAGGCAGCCCAGGCCAGCAGGATGTTCAGCTTGTGGTACCAGTTCAGCTGTCCTGGTTGTTAAGATATTGAAGGTCTGCCTGTAAAGAGCCACTGCCCAGAGCTCCCTTAGTGCACTCCTCAGTGCCACGTCCCTGGGAACCAGCAAGAAAAAGCGAAAGCCGAGAACCACAGAGGGGCTTCTGGCCTCCGCTCTAGGGATAAGCCCAATGAGAACTCTGATTAGACGGTGTTCTGAACTACTGTTTTCTAATATTTTAAAATCTCACTCCTGCTACGGAATGCCAATTCACAAACCCATGAGCGAGCAAGAGTGAGCATTCTACAAACAAGCATGCCTTTAAACTGCTTAGTAGACAAGAAAGCAACAAACACCTCTGCAGGAGGAAATGGGCTTTCTATGAACTGGAAGAGGAAGCAGTGGAATCTTAGGCAGGAGGCACAGCACTAAGGCTGACCCAGAAAGTCTGGGAAGGATCCTAGACCTCCTCTAAATTCTTTATTGTTTCTGAGTGTCAACCTAAATAGCAAATAGTGAGAGGCTCTCTAAAAGAATAATGGGTTTAATTGGGAATAGAACATTGCCATGGTAATATGCATGCCGTAGTAAACTATGTGCATAGTCAAGTAGGTAAAGGAAGACAAGGATTTTTAAAGGCAAAAGAGAAAAGTACCTGTAATGTAATTTGTTTTGAAACAGAGACTATTGGTTACAGGAGCTTTACGTGGGAGTCGATGGTTCACTAGTGGAGACAGTGTCAGACAAGTGTTCTCGTACATCCACCTAGCTGTCTGTGACTCATGTAGCAAGCTGCAGTTTGAAAAGCTCTTGGCAAAAGTTTTGTTACAGGCATATATGGGTAAGAGAGTCTTTGTAATAGTGCTTATCATAGGAATGTATGCCAGGGCCCTCCCTTCCCAGCTTCCCAGCTTTATTTATGTATTGTTAGAGTTTGACATGCATGACTTCATTTTGATTCTGACCACTTTCACATGAGGTAATTCCAATGCACAGTTAGAGTTTCAGGACCCCAGAGTGAGATGTCAAAGTTAGACTTGGAGCTGCAGCAACTTAAAGCCTGAAGAAGAGGCACATGTAGAACTGGAAAAAATGGAGTACATTTTCCTGGGAACCACAGGACAGGAAGTTAGTAAGACGTCAAAGAACCTGGAAGAGTATGTGGGCCTGCCCCCTTCACTCCATTCACCCCCCCAACCCCCTTCACTCCCTTCAGAGATAAAACCGAGTCTCCAGCCTCTTCCTGGGAGGAGTTGGCCCATACATTGAGAAGCCCAAATTTTATAGCTCCCACCAGAGGGACTGGCTTCTAAATGACCTGGCTCTGGGAGTGAACAGGGCTCACTATGCAGGAGTCCCATAGGACCAAAGTAAACAAACAGGTGGCTTTAAACATGTAAGGAAGCACTCTTTGCTGCAATCCCGCCCCACTCCCCCTGCCCCCGGCTCAGCACAGACCAAAGGCAATAATATCCAGGTTCCAGTTTCTTCCAGGAAGGGGTTTGACAGCACACTCTCCCAAATGCTGTCCAAGGGTCAGGCCTCTAATTAGTTTGCATCTGAGAACCAACAAGAGGGGTAATTAGTAAGACCCCCCCTGGAGCCTGAAAAGATGTGTGGGCACTGCCCAAACCCTCTGCCACTCCCCCACTTGCCAAGTTTCCAGATCTGAGACAGTTCTCAGACCTAGGACCCATCATCTGAAGGACAGGCCAGTCTTCTAACAGAAAGGACCACGGCAAGTGTATATAGAAGTTATCTCTTTGCTTCTTTCCCAAGGGTACCTACAACCCACTCAAGGGAAAGTCGAAAACCCATACATTTTTTTTTAATTTCTTTTTTTATATTTATTTTATTTTATTTTTTAATTTTTTTTAATTTTGTCAATATACAATGTAGTTAGTTATTGTGTCCCATCACC